TGTAGCAACTAGCAAATATACTACTCATTTTAGTAGCTGGGTACTGAATTAAAACTGCGCAGTTGGTGAGGGCTCAGGATGACGTGCACAGGGCATCTGCTGTCGTAAAGAGAGACGACCAAAGAGCGGGCCCTGGGGAGCTGTAGTTTCACCAAGAAGGTACTCTCGGGAGCAAACGGAAGACACGAAAAAATGGTGACCGGTTCGCACATTTTTTTTGCGATTAAAGCTTAACACACGGTAGCCTGCGATAAACTGAACAGAAGCGACCCAAAATTATAAAAGGATGGAATAAGGAGTTCCTCGAGAAGTGCGTGAGCAATTCGGGTTTCGTATTGTGTATAATTTTAACTCAAAGCACTAATGCTCGGACAAGGATCTAATATGCAAGACCGCCGACGTACGATCCGGTCTCTGGTAGGCAATTTTAACACCAACCCCACCCAATGCATTAAGCTTAGTCAGAAGTGTATTCCTAAAAGAGGTGCGAGGCTTAGCAACACGTCTATGGAGTAGATATTCAAAATTGCATAAACACTACGCTATACAATTTATTAGACCATGCGTCGAAAAACACGGCTCCTCATGGGCGCTTCAAATACGAAGATAGTTACAGCGCCAGTAAAAAACGTGCAGTCAGGCCAGTCAATCAGAACCTTCAAATGCGATTGCTTGTCGATTGTCAGTGAAATCGATTAATTACCCTTGCAAGAAGCTGATCAAGTCAATTCTAAACGAGGAAGGAATCAATCTTTAAGGTAAATCAAGCAGCGGCAGAATACCGGCGAAGCATGTGTCTGGGCTTTTTAGGTAGTACCTAGGCTGTTAGTATGGTAAGGAACAATAAGCTAAAGGACGACTCCGACGACTCAGCAGATCCCGCACGCCACACAGTCTTCGTGTACTGTTGAATACAGCCATTGCCTGTCAGAACAGCTCTCTTGGCTTCTTCTGCCTATTAGTTGGGTCAGAATAAACTGGGCTATAACATTTCCTTTTTCTCACCGAGAGCAGACAGTTGGTTTAGAGCCTATACACTCCACGACCAATTCCTAAAACAGCACCCACGCAGACAGAAACCATGAACAGTGCTCAGAAGAAGCAATAAAATGATGAACGCAGAATGCTATAGAAGAAGGCACCGCAATATTTGGCTGTACAGCTTAAAAAATGTGTAGAAGTGGCAGCCAGCGAACGATTAGGGGATAAGCAAGTCAAATCTTATTTTTGTTTTAAAAAAAAACAATGAAAAAGAACGGGGAATGAGTACACCCGGAAGGCGCACAGAGAGAGAGAGAGAGAGAGGCTGATCACATGCGTGTTATCAATTTGGATTGGCGGGAGGGGGTTTGAAAAGAATCACCACTGGAAGTTGATGTGAAGAGTGGTCACAGATCTTGTGCGGAGCAGAGCAAAGCTTAATAAACAGCAGTCAGTGAAGGAGATGCTGGGGGCAACAATGGTCGAGATCAATCTAAACATCGCAAATAATTGGGACGTTTGAAGTCAGGATATGGCATTTAGTCGGTAGGGGTAGGTAGGCAGTAGACTCTAAGAGTTACTTCTCAGGGAAAGTCCAATGATGAGACCGATTATCACAATGAAGACAAGGAAGATGAGTGCACAGATGCACTTCCGGCGACGAGCTGACTTCCTGTGCACAACAGCGGAATTGAGCTGCTGAACTCCGCTTTGAACCTAAAAGACAAATATTTCACTACTTATTAACAGCAAGTAGGTTATATTGTTGGACTATAAATTGTATGTG